CCTAGACAGGACACAAGTCCATCAATGGGCACACACACACAGATGTACACACCCTGGACAGGACACCAGTCCATCACAGGACACACACACACACAGACACACACATCCTTGACAGGACACCAGTCCATCGCTGGGCACACACACACAGACATACACACCCTACACAGGGCACCACTCCATCACTGGGCACACACACACACACACCCTAGACAGGATACCAGTCCATCGGTGGGCACACACACTCACAGACATAGACACACACAACAGAGCCAATTTTCCCAGAAAACAATTAAACGACCAGTATGTTTCTTGAGGAAACCCACACGAACCAGGGGAGAACATGCAAACTCCACACAGACAGCACCTCAGGTCCAGAATCCAACCCAGGGCTGCAAGACAGCAGTGCAAACCACTGCCCCATCGTGCCACTCTCCGTATTATTCATGCAGGATGATATATACAACACTATATTGTACATGTAGAATTATGACATATATAAAAACAATACAGTATTCTACGTACTGTATTATACAAACAGTACAGTATTATACAAACACATTGATACATACAGTACTGTATTATTCATGCCATATTGTACATACAATACAGTATTCTACATACTGTATTATACATGCACAGTATTCTACCTGCTGTATTATATATTCAGAATTATACATACAGTACAGTTTTATACATGCAGGATGATACAGTATTGTATTCTGTGTACTGTATTATATATATATAAAAAGTGTGGTATTATATATACAGTAATGTATTCTTTGTATATACAGTATGTTTATGTTATGCAGTATACCCTGCTCTGATCAGTACTGCAGATTATTAAAGCCAGTCTGTCCCTCTTTCACCTTCTGTACCAACTCCTACAAACTGGTCCTGGCCACATGCCCAAACTCCTCTCATCTCTGCCCCAGCGTGGGCAGCCCCAGCCCCTCTCCCAGCTCAAGCACGTTTGCCCTGGGCAGTTTAACCCAGGAAAGCTGCACCCTCTATTGAGCCAGATCGGCATTACATATGCATGCCTCACCCACAGAGTACAGCTCTGCATACCAGGAATTTGTCATGTCATTTGCCAAACCTCTTTATACCATACGGTGTTGCGGGAAGCCGGAACCTACCCGGCAAGCAATGAGCTCAAGGCAGGGTACACCCTGGATGGGACGCAGGTCCATCGCAGGGCAAGTGCAAGCCAATCATACATGAGGACAATTTGGAGGCCACTTTAAAGGCCGAGGGGGGAAATTTGGCCCGGACACCGGGATAACTCCCTACTCTTATTGAGAAATGCTCAGCGATCTTTAATGAGTCAGGGCCTCAGTTTAACATCTCATCCGAAAGACAGCACCCACTACAGTCTAGTGTCCCCGCCACTATACTGGGGCATTAGGACCCACACAGACCACAGGGTGAGCGCCCCCTGCTGGTTCCACTAACACCTCTTCCAGCAGCAGCCTTAGCTTTCCCAGGAGTCTCCCATCCAGGTGCTGACCAGACTCACACTGCTGAGCTCCAGTGGGGCTGCCAGTGCTGAGCTGGAGGGTGATATGGCTGCTGGCTATCAGGAATAGTTCCACATGAATTCATATTTCAGAATGTAAAACTCTCAAACATTGAGCATTCATGTACTGGCAGAACCATCCTATTTTTTAATCATGATTTGAACCTTTATTACGAAGCATCAATAAGCAGGTCATCAATATTTAAAAAAAAAATATCTAAAACAGAATATTGAGAAAAAACAAAGCAGAGCAAGACTGGACCTAAACCACCGGACCAGCTGTCCTCCTGGTGTAACAAGACTGGACCTGAACCATTGGACCAGCTGTCCTCCTGGACTAAGAAGACTGGACCTGAACCTCCAGACCAGCTGTCCTCCTGGTGTAACAAGACTGGACCTGAACCACTGGACCAGCTGTCCTTCAGCCAATAATACAGAAAAGGTAATAACACAACAGGTTAGAATCCAAACCTATTTAAATCAGATTGACATTCCATCATTATAAACTGGCAAGGTGAAGACATCAGCCTTAACAACAAGATCACTTCTAATTATAAGAAAATACCTTCAGGATTTTTCAGAAGATTACCTAGTCTACCAGTAACCTAGGCAAAAAAAACTATTTCACACACACATTGTGTGAGTGTCTGTGGCTTTTGCTATTTTTTTATTGTCTGTTCTCGATTTGTTTTCTTGGTTTCCTCTTGTTTCATTTGATCGTCCACCAAGCGTTTCGCGTAACGGCAAACCTTCGTGGAGAGGACTGTTTTAGAAGGCACATCCGAAAACGGACAATAAAGAATAAAGTTTGACGCTGATACGTGGCCCAGGCAGGCATGCCGAGGACTTGCAGTTCTCTGACTGAATGATGGTGAAGAACGCATATCGCATGATTAAGATTGCACATGAATAACATTAAAACAAACTGTGAGCCTTCTGGAAAGTTTTTTGTTTCTGCACTTGTCCCCTTAGAACATTTTTTCCTGTAGTTAACCAGGGTGCAAGCCACAAGGAGCTGCAGTAAAGCCCAGCGAGGTCTGGTAAACCTTTAAACACTGAAACACTGGGGCAGAGCGCACCAAAATCATCAACAGCACACGCGAAAACAGCACCAATCTCTGAAAGAAGAACTACAGGCAGGTTTTGTCCAGACACAGAGGCAGATATTTCTCAAGAGCAGGCTGCAGGTGCGAGCTGCCACAGAGCCGGGGAGCCAGCCTCCAGGATGCAGGAGGAGACGACGAACACGAACACCCCCCCCGCCAGACATCACCGGCCCCCGATCGAGCCCCTTACCTAACCCCAGC